CGATTCGATTCGATTCGATTAATCGACTAATCGGTTAATTTTTTTTTTATTATTATTATTTTTTTTTTTTTACACCTTACAGGCTAAACAAAGTTTCAAGTTAGAAATAAATCAATGAAAGCTGTAATATCGTTATGCATTTTCTTTAGAAACAACAGCAAATAACAGAAGTAGAAAAGCTGCATCAAAAAATACTGTAAAAATACTGCACAATATCAGTGTAATTAGTTCAATGCAATACCTCGGCTCCAAAGAAACTGTCCAACATATTTTTTTAGAATTTAATAAATATACTCAGGAAAGAGAGATGTTGTGTAGAGAGTTAGACAGGAATAAAAGTAAACTAGATATAAGGGAATTGTTTCAAAGGTCATCTGGGGATGTAGTTTTTGGTAGTATTTTTAATTTTCTAAGAAGAACGGGTATTTTAGGGAGAGAATATAATAGTTTGTCTGGTCCATACTCCATTCTGGAAGGTGGCGGTAATGCACCTATAAGTTGTTTGCCAACCGCCATTAAAAAAAAGAAGAAGAAGAAGGCTCCAGAGTGTTGACGTCACCGACCCCTTGAGAGACGCTCTGCTGCTCCTCTCCCAGATTGTAGCTGACCGCAAACAGTGCACCAGACAGGAGGGCGGCTTGTTTTGTTTTTATGACCGAAATTGCGGAAAACAACTCGTGAAGTTTGACCCGCTAGAAGAGCGAGGGGCGCGAGAACGCTGGGAGCCTTTTTCCAGCTGAATCTCCGCTCTTTTTGCCCCATTGTCCCTCCGTCGTCGGACTAAACTCGCCCCCACTTCCTCGCCGCCTCGGCCGTATCTAGACCCACAGCGTGTAGCTCAGACCACGCTGCAATATTGAGCATAATTTAAAAATGTCTGTGTGAAGCTTGCTGCAACAAACTGCTGTAAGAGTATAACCAGGAAGCGCGGTAGGAGGGCAAAATAAGTTTAGCGGCACCGCAGGGAGGGAGGAGAGTTACGCCCAGGAGAAAATGGATAAAAATAGACCGGAGGGAAAAAAAAAAAACATTAATCGATTATCTTGCGGACGTGTCGATGCATCGGATCGTCGGCTTTTGGATCGATGCATCGATACAAAACGATTATTATTTACACCCCTACTCACACCTATGGTGAATGTAAGGTTTGTGACATGGAATGTGCATGGTGCTGGCACCAGAGAGAAACAGCTTAAGATTTTTAACCAGCTTAAAAGATTAAATGCAGATGTTGTCTTATTGCAAGAAACCATAAATCAGCGGCATCTATAAGTGATCTTAACTCCCCTGAGTTCCCTGATGTGTTTGCAGCCTACTATAACTCTAGACAGAGAGGGGTAGCAATTTTAATCCACAAAAACCTCAGTTTTACTTTATTAGACAAAATTATAGATCCTGAAGGCAGATTCATCATAATTAAAATATCTATTTATAACCAAAAGTTGTGTATTGTCAGCATATATGGTCCAAATGTTGACGACCCCTCATTCTTCCACAAAGTTTTTCATGCACTTTCAAAGCACGGGGATTGTTCTCTAATTATTGGGGGTGACCTCAACTTTGGTCTAAATAGAGAAATGGACAGGTTGAGTACAACAGGGACTCAGCGCAGTTGGCAATCATTAAATGTAGTCAAACAATACATGAGTGATTTTGGTCTTTGCGATGCATGGCGATCTCTTCATCCTAACAGTAAGGATTACACTTTCTTTTCCAATGTCCGTCATTCCTACTCTCGTCTGGACTATTTCCTAATCAGCAGCTCGCTGCTGTCTGATGTCTCAGATGCTGTAATCCATCCTATTGCTGTCAGTGATCATGCTCCTGTTACTTTAACCCTAATAAATAAAAAAATAGCCCCACAAAACAAGAGCTGGAGATTAAATACATCACTGCTTAAAGATGAAGAGTTTCTCAAATTTTTCAAGGAAGAGTGGGCATCATACTTGGTGTGCAATGATTTACCAGGAACATCAGCATCTATACTATGGGGAGCAGCGAAAGCAGTGATGAGAGGTAAAATTATTTCATTCTCATCTCATAAAAAAAAAGTTAGAACAAAAAAAGATCCAGGAATTAGAGGGAAAAATAAAGTTACTAGAAAGCTCGCTAGATGAGGAAAAGTTAGGGGAAATCCGTAAAATAAAACTAGAACTAAACGAATTTATTGAAAAACAAAATAAATTTTTAATTCAAAGACTTCGAATTGACAACTTTGAACATAGCAATAAGTCAGGAAGCTTCTTAGCTAACCAGCTAAAAATAAACGAAGAAAAAACGACTATATTTGCATTTACAGATTCAATTGGTAATACATTACAGGATCCGGAGGATATTAACAATGCCTTCCGAGATTTCTATAAATCTTTATACACATCACAGTTAAATCCATCAGATAATGATATCAAGCGATTTCTGGATAAAATAACTCTTCCTAAATTATCAGAGAGTCAAAGAGCGACCTTGGACTCACCGCTGTCTACAGCTGAAGTTCAGGAAGCATTAAAAAACATGCCAAATAATAATGCGCCAGGTCCAGACGGGTTCCCTACTGAGTTCTATAAAGAGTTCTGGGACATTCTGGCCCCAACGTTCCACAGAATACTGCAGGAAACTCTAGATAATGGCAAATTTCCAGTTAATATGAATTCTGCCACCATTAGTCTCCTGCTTAAACCAGGCAAAGATCCTATGTTTCCGACCAGCTATCGTCCCATATCCTTAATTAATGTGGATATTAAAATAATCTGTAAAGCTTTAGCAAAACGATTAGATAAAGTCACTCCTCTCATAATCCACCCAGATCAAACTGGTTTCATTAAAGGGAGGCAGTCAGCTGCTAACACACGCAGACTGCTGAATTTAATAGATTATTCCTACAGCAAAAATCTTAAATCCTATATATTGTCCTTAGATGCAGAAAAAGCATTCGATAGAGTAAACTGGAAATTTTTATTTGCTACTCTACATAAATTTGGCTTTGGCAATTCCTTTATAAATTGGTTAAAAATATTATATAGCTTCCCAACAGCCTGTGTCAGGACAAACAATCAAACATCTTCCAGCTTTTGTCTCCAGAGGGGCACCAGACAGGGATGCCCACTCTCCCCCTCACTTTTTGCTATTTTTATTGAGCTTCTGGCTGCTACAATCAGACAAACAAATATGATTAAAGGTATAAAAGGCATGAAAATGGAGCATAAAATTAGTCTTTACGCAGATGATGTATTACTTTATCTCCAGCACTCAAACACTTGCCTCTCTCAAGTGATTAGTTCACTAGAATCTTTCTCAAAAGTCTCAGAATACTCTATAAATTGGTCTAAATCTGTAATACTACCAATTAATTGCTCTCTACAGAATCCCTCAGGTCTACAATTGCAATCAGGAAATATCAAATATTTGGGAATTACTGTGTCATCTAAACTAGCTGAGTTACCAAAACTCAACCACATCCCTCTTTTAAAGAAAATAGAAGAGGACCTAGAAAGATGGAAATCGCTTCCGATCTCCCTTATGGGTCGGGTAGCCTCAATTAAAATGATGGTCTTACCCAGAATTAACTACCTATTTTCAATGATCCCAAATAAACCATCAACCGAATGGTTTAAATCTCTAGATTCTTCCATCTCTAAATTTCTTTGGAAGGACAAACCCCCTCGTATCAGCTTAAAAACACTACAGAAAACTAAAGACAGAGGGGGACTAGATTTACCTAACTTCCAACACTACTATTTAGCAAATAGATTACAATACATCTCTAAATGGATAAAACATAATCCCTTAGATGAGCCCTGGATAGACACAGAACAGGATATATGCAGTAATACAATAATCTCAGATTTGCCGTTTATTAGCTCTAAGATCAAACGGCACCCATGTTTCAAAAATATTAACATCAGCTCTTCTCTGACAGCATGGTGGGAATTTCTAAAAATAACGAAGTCATCACTTATCCCGTGCAGTCGTACACCCATCTGGAATAACCCTGACATTTTACAAAACAATAATGTGATAAACTTTCCGTACTGGAAGAATAAAGGTATTACATATCTGGATCATTTGTTTGAAGGTACGGAGTATATCACATTCGCTAGATTAAACTTGCAATATGGCATTAACAAAAATAAATTCTTAGAATATGAGCAAATCAAAGCTATAATTAGAAATAAATTTAAGCATATTGATGGAGGTTTAATAATTCCAAGTAAAATATCAGAGTTTCTAGAGTTAACCCCCCCAAACTACTGTCTAAGTTATACAGGACACTGACTAAACTGGATGATACAATATCTCTTCCTATTACTAAATGGGAGGAGGATTTATCAGTCAGCTTTGAACAAAACATCTGGGCTCAGATATGTCTAAGAACTTTTAACATGACTAGAAACCCCAATTTACAATTAATACAATACAAAATCCTCCACAGAGTGCACTATACAGGTCAAAGATTATTCAAGATGGGTTTTGCGCAATCTAACATCTGTCCACAGTGCACAGGCAATCAACTTGATAATTATTTTCACGTGTTATGGTTATGCACGCCGGTTCAGAGATTCTGGGTACAGGTATGTAAGGATCTATCACTGTGCCTGGGTTGTAAAATCCCAATTTCCCCTTCAGTTTGCTTGCTGGGTGACTTTGAGGGAAGCTCTATGGGAAAAAAATCGGTTTGCTTGGCATTCACTGCATTATGTATCGCAAAGAAAACTATCCTCATGAATTGGAAAAGTAAGGATAAACTCAACATCAATCAGTACAGTCTGGGGCGCCACTGGGGGGTCCTGCGGCGGCCGCGTGCGGTGCTCTTGGGGGGTTCCGTGGTGGCGGACGTGGGCTACTGGCCTGGTGGCTGTGCTGCTGCTGGGTGGGGCTGGGCGCCGGGCATCGGTTCTTTTGTGGTGCTGGCCGGGGTGCTTCTGCTCTGCGGGGCGTTGGGGCGTGCCTCGTCTTCCGGTGCCGGCTTTCGGTGGTTGGCCGTGGCGCTTGCCGTGGTTGCGTCATCCGGGGGGATGCGTGGGTGGTCGCGCCTGTGGCCGGGGTTCATGTGTGTCTGTTGTGGGCTGGTTGCGGGCGTCGGGGGTCCCTTTGGAGTGCCCCCGGGTCGGGGTGTGGCTTTGCTCTGTTGGGGCGGGTGCCGGTGGCGCGTGGTGCGGTGCATCGTGCGCGGTTTGGGAGTGGAGGGTTGCTCGGTGTTTGGCGGCGGGAGGGGGACGGGCCGTGGCCGGCGTGGCCGTCCTCCTCTCGGCGGCCTGTGGGCGGTGCGGGGCCGGAGCGGGGTGGGTCGTGCTGCTTTCGCGCCGGGCGCGGCGGGAGTGGTGGGGTTGCGTCTGCTGCTTTCTTTTTGCTGCTTGTGCCGGCTTCTGTCGGCTGGGGCGGCCTTGCTGCTCTGGCTCTCTGGCGTGCGCCGGGTGGGGCTGCTCTGTCCTTTGGGTGGGGGAGTCCGCCTGGGGGCTTGGTTGGTGCCGTCGGTTCGTCCATGTCGGCCTTCCGGTGTTGTTTCTGTTGGGGCTGCTCGGGCCCCCGCATGCCGGCGGTGCGCTGCCGGGGGGGTTCCTGTTCGGCGGGCTTGCTTGTCTCCTGGGAGGGCAGGCATGTTGACTTTTCTGGGGAGGAGCATCTGGGTGGAGGGGTCCTCGTGGTGTGGCGGTGGGTGTTGGGCACTGGCTTGTTTGCGGCCGTTCTTCTCCAGTGAGGGGGAGATTATTATAATTATTATTATTATTTTTTTTTTTTTGTGTGGGAGGGGGGGTGGGGGCGGGGAGATCGGGGCTTGGAGTGGGGCTCGGATTTGCGCTTTGCTGTGTTGTGTGGCTTTCTTCTTCTTCGGATTGGTGCTGTGGGACCGGTGTTGGGGGGGAGTCATTCGGGGGCTGGGGTCGGGGTGGGGGCGCGGGCGCCGGGGGTTTTTGGGCATTGCCCGGCCCTACTGCGGGGTGGGTCTGGGGTGGGTCCTGGGGTCTGGGATCCCTGGGGCGCATTGCCCTTGGGCGGGGGCCCCGGTGGGGATTCGGGGGTTCGGGTTCTGTGGGGAGTGCTGCTTGGGTTCTGGGCTGGTGTACGCCCGGCTGTCTGCCCCTGCTGCCATGGCCTCTGGTGTGCCGGGGTGCCTCGGGGCCTGCTGGGCTGGGGGGGGGGCATGGACATTAATACCTATGGCAAGTGCTTACCCCCTCACGGGTTTGCACTCTGTAAGTGGGGGAAGGGGAGGGAGGGGAGTAGGTATGATCTCGGCCTGGATGTCTTCTGTCGCTTGTGTGGTGAGTAGCTTGATTGTTATTGTAGGGGAGGGATTACATCTCCGGAGGGGGGGTGGGGGGTGGTGATAGTGGGAAGAAGATCTTGGAAGGGCTTCGGGTCTGGCTCCCTGTCTTGGTCCTGGTCCGTGCTGCCCCCTGGTGGGGCTTCGTCCGGGGTGGGGGCTCTGCGTGTTGCGCGTGGGCTGGCCGGCTGGGGTTGTCCCCCCCCTTATTCATTTATTTATTTATTATTATTATTTTTTTCTTTCTCCCTTTTATATATATATATTTTTTTTTTTTTTTTTTTTTGGATGGACAGGACGGGGGGAGGGTGGTGGTGTCGGCTCCGTGCCCGGCTGGCTGGTGGGTCCTGCTGCCGGTCCCGTGCCCCCGGGCTATGGTGGTGAAACTGGTGGGGCCCCCTTCTCTGGGGGGGCTCTCGGCTCTCGGGGAACAGGGGTGCCTATTGGACTCAGCGGGGGAGCTGGCTCCCTGGGAGTGCAGCAAGCACCCCAGTCCTTTGCTCCCCATCCCCGAAATCCTCCCTCTGCCTGCTCCATCACTCTGCCACACATGTAGGTTTTTGGGGAGGGGGTCGTTACTGGAGGGCCACACCTTCTGATGACGTCCCCCACACCAATTTTATTTTGCATTTTAGACACTTCCATCTACATCATTTTCACAACACACATCTATGTAGGGCATTTTCGGGGGGTGGGGGTCAGGGCCACCGGGGGGGGGGGCTTATTTTATGGGCCTCACCACGGTCGGCTTCCTCCATCCCCTCTCGCATCTAGACATTGAGGGTTCAGGGTTGTCGAAGGGGGGGGTGTGCTGGCACCGTCTATCTCCTGGAGAGGGGGTGGAGTGTGCCGGACACCCCCTCTTGGTACTCCCAGTTTTAATTGCATCTGAGAGCAACACGCAACAACACCACATTCGAGCGGGCGCAGTGAGGATCGGGGTCTTCTCACACCCCTGTTCTCCGGCTGCCGCCTGGAGTCTGGGGCCTGGTGGAAGAGCAGGCCACCTGGTCCGTGGTCCGGGGCCGGGCTTGAAGAAGCAGGAAAGAGATGGGTTGGTGTGGCGGTGTCGCCGCTCCCCTCCCCTCATAACCGAATTTAAGGTTCACTTATGGGGTCATCCGATAGTCCCGGGACCAACCACCAGTGTCGCCGGGTTTTTGGTCCTGGTATTATTGGATGTAAGTGTTATGTGTGAGTGTGTGTCCGCGTTGTTATTTTCTTTATTTATTATTATTATTATTATTTTATTCAATTATTTTATTTTTTTTATTTTTTTTTCTGTGGTACGAGTGGGGGCACTAGGGAGGGAAGGCATGATTGAGATGGAGTGTTTTTTTATTTTATTTTTTTTTTTTTTTTATTTATTTATTTATTTTTATTTTATTTTTTCTCCCAGGTTGGGGTCTCAACCGCACCCTCTCCCAAATACATCTCAAGTCTCCGCTAAGTGCGGAGCCCATTCCCCTCGTCCTGCTCTCCCTTCGCTGGCTGGCGTCGGGGCTCACCGGTTCGCTGGTGGAGCTCGGGGTCTGGGGGTGGATGCCCGGGGGACTGCTGGCTCATTCCTGGCGGCCTCTCCGCTGGCCCCGGCCGGCCGGGGCTTTGCTGGGGCTCCTGTCTGGGGATCGGGTGCCCTTGGGGCCTCGGATCCCTGGGGCCTGGGACTGGATCCGCTTCGGGGTGGGGCTGGCTGTTGTTCGGGGATTTTCGGGGTCGGTGCCGGTGCCTTCGCTACGATGCCGGTTCCTGGGCGGTGTTTCTTTCCTATGCCGGTTCTGTGGTATCGGTTCGGGGGGGGGAGCTGCACGGCATGGTGGGGTGCGGGTCTTGGGTCCTGTTTTGGGCTCCAGTTTTTCCGCTCGCACTTCTCCTCTTGCATATTTATTTTAATTGTAATTAGTTATTTATTAATAAATTAATTCATTTACCTATTTATTTATTTATTTTGTATTTATTTATTTATGTTTTTATTTTCTTTTTTTCTCTTCCTCGGTGGGGGGAGCGGTTGCGGGCGGGTCGGTGTCTGGTGTCCGCTGTCGCATTGTGGGGGCTCCTTTTTTTTTTTTTTTTTTTTTTTTTTTTTGGGGGGGGTTTGGCATGTCTGTTTTCTCGGGGGGCGGGCGGGCCTGCTGGGTGGGGGTCCTGCTGGCGGCGCGCCGCTGGTGTGTGGGGGTCCAGGCGGCTCCGGCGGGGGTGGTGTTGGGGGGCCGGTTTGGGCGGGCTGGCTGCGCTGGCTGGGTATTCGGGTGGGTTTTCCCTCTTGGAGGCATGGCGGAGCTGCTCTGTTCCCGCTGATCGCGGCGGGTGGGGCTGCGGGGCGGGTGGGGGCTTGGAGTGGCTATGGCCGGCGCGTGTTGGGGGGCCGGGGCGGCGGAGCTGCTCTGGCCACGTGTCAGGGCCTGGTGCGGGCGGCGGGGGGGGGGCGGCGGACGTGGCTGTGCTGCTTTGGCTTCGTCCGGTGGGGGAGCGGCGTGGTTCGCTCTGCTCTGGCTTTGTGCTGCCCCTCGGGCTGCTGGGGGGGGGGTGGTTGCGCCGGCTGCGGTCTGCTCTTCTTGCGGTTTTGCGCCGGGCGGCTTTTCTGCTCTCGGGCTGATTCTGTGCGCGGTGTGTTTCGTTGCGCGCTGTTGGCATCGGTCTTGGTGGGGTGGGGCTAAGCTTTTGGCCGGGGGGGCGTTTTGGGGGGTCCCGCGGCGCTCGCGGCCGGTTCGTGGCGGATGCGCTAAGGATGCGCCTGAGTGTTTTTCCTGGGTGGTGCGGTCGCGGTGGGTGTTGCGGCCGGTCGCCGGGGCTTGGTGCCGGGGGGCGGGGCGTGTTTCGGTGCTCTGTGGGGCCGGGGCGTTTCGGTCGGCGCCGTGGGGGGGCTGGTGTTCGGTGCCCGGCCCTACTTCGGGGTGGCCGGCTTCCGGCGGGGCCCGCGGACTCGTCCCCGCGGCTCCCCGGGGCGCCGGCATGGCGGTGGCTGGGGGGCTTCTTCGTGGCTGTCTCTCCTCCTCCCTAGGTGGGGGTCTGGTTTCCGGGGCTGGCCCCTCCTTGGTGCCTTCGCTTCTGGGGTCCCTTTGGGTGCCTGGGGCTTTGGGTCTCCCGGCGCTGGACTCAGTGCTCTGGGGGGTGTGCCTCTCCGGCTCTCCACAACCACTATTGAGCATTTTTTCTATGGTTAAAACTTTACATGCACAAGTTCACCCTCACAAACAACTACAGGTGCTAGGCTTCAGGTACTTAGAGATTCACTTCCAAACAGAAACCCCACATTCATATCTTCAGGTAACACAGAGTACATGTCAGACTTAATAATATTACTTTAGCGATAGTTTCAAGGTGTTTGCTTTATTGTATATCTCGTACCATGTCTTTTGGTTGTGCTGTTCTTTTTTTTCATCTCATTGCAGGTGATGAAGCAGACTGAAAATGTTTTGTCATTGTCTCCTTCCTATCTCCTCTTTCTTTCATCTTTTGTCCTTTTTTTTTCTTTTTCTTTTTCCTTCTTCTTCTTCTGTTTTTCTGCTCTACTTACATTGCAGTGTCCATATGAACTGTAAAACTCCCTGCATAATTATAATAAAGCAATTTATATACATGAAACAAGTGGAGCAGTATGGCAATTGCCATACCGCTACACTTGTGAAAGTAAAATCTGTTGGGCTCCTTTTGGCATCAAGACAATTATTCTTATTGCCACCTTGCCAGACAGGACACTGTAAAAAAAAAAAAAAAAAAAAAAAAAAAAATTGTACTTCAAGTTTATCCAGACCTTCTTAGATTAGCAAAGTCAGCAAAAGTAAATAATCTGACTTGTGTATTTTTGGGGTTTGAAAAAGTATAGAAAAGGAAATGAGTATCGAAAAAAAAATTGTTTTAAGACTTTATATCTCATTGTCAAAATGTAGATTTATTTATTTTTTGCTTCACTTCACATCATGTATTCTTTCTTCCATTCTCCTTGTATGTTCTTGTTTCACCCTCTCTTTCTTCCTTTCCCCTTCTTTTCTAAATTGTATACCTCTGGCCAAGGGCGTAGGAATATGTTTACAATTGCGGGGGACACATGTTGGAAATCTGAGATTCGTAAATATTCAACAGAAACATATCTTAAGGACGCTACTTAAAAAAAGGCTATTTAATCTTTTACTTTATTCCTTTATAAATGTGTTTGCAAAAATAATGCATTTAAAATTAACATAATGCATTTGTTCATAAGATGTGAGCATATCACCAAACAAAATGACTGGAGTCTTTTATTAAGCAAAGGGAGATGTCTTTCAAGGGCTACAGCCCTTGGCATATTTAGTGTCCGCTTACGCACTAGAAAATCAAAACAATTCAGTAGGCCACACAAGTGCAAAGTTTGATATGTTTTATTTTGTCAAACTTGCAATAATGGTCAAAAATGAATTCATATAGGTTGACTGACAGAGGGAGCTGACAGTGTGTTAAAGAATTATGGACAGGGCGCTTTGAAGCATCTGGTTCAAAAACGCATTATCAACCTTTGGTAGAAATCCATCTATCCTTCCATTTTCTGTACACCCTGTCCCTTAGTGGGGTCAGGAGGTGCTGGTGCGGGGTCCACCCTAGACAGGTGGCCAGTCTGTCCAGACCTTTGGTAGAAATGGCGCCTTTAATTCCAATTTGCAGTACAGAACAGAGAAAACTAAAGAGTTGTCAATGTTGTGTTAATCTGTTTATAGTGTAAAAAGAGGAGCCAGCAGTTTATTTGAGGAAATAAAGATGCAGAAGTTAATTAGTTGGTTAATTAGTGGTTGTGCAGCAGTCCGCTGCACGACCAATGCGGCCGCCGCTGCTAAGAATTAGAATTAATTCTC